AGTAGAGATGGGGTTTCACCATATTGGCCAGGCAGGTCTTGAACTCCTGACTTCATGATCTGCCCACCTCAGCCTCCCAAAGTTCTGGAATTACAGGCATGACCCACTGCCACCCAGCCGAGTTTTGCTCTTATTGCCCAGGCTGGAGTGCAATGGCAAAATCTTGGCTCACTGCAACTTCTGCCTCCTGAGTTCAAGTGACTCTCCTATCTCAGCCTCCTGAGTAGTTGGGATTACAGTTACCTGCCACTATGCCCAGCTAATTTTGGGTATTTTTAGTAGAAATGGGGTTTCACCATGTTGGCCAGGCTGGTCTCGAACTCCTGACCTTAGGTGATCCACCCACCTTGGCCTCCCAAAGTGCTGGAATTACAGGCATGAGCCGCCGTGCCTGGCCAGGTTTTCTTTTTGCTTCATACATCCTGGATTGGGTGCTGGAGAAGGGTATAATCCAAATCACAACAAGCACTGACCAAAAAGTAAAAGCCCCTCAAAAAGTCTGCTTTGTCTAACTAAAAAACTAGGAAAAGGGCAGCCTAAAAGGACAGAAAAGTTTGAGAAAATAATCAATCTACGTTAGCAAAACACCATAGAGAAAACTGGCCTCATTCCTCTCCACAATAAGAAAGGACAAATGGGAGGCTTAGACCTCCATCCTTTCCAGGCTGAAATAAAGTACCTCAACTACCCCACCGGAGTGATGTCAGAAAAAACTAACTAGGGAGCTGAAACTTTTGTTTCCATTACGCAGCAATGAGCCTCCAACTCCCATGCTTCACAATGACAGTATAAACCATGTGGGGGGCTTGGTCTTCCAGTACCACCAAGTAATAATGAGATGTCCCCCCACCCTACTGTGTTGGTGTAGAGGAGGCTAGGTGGAGAGATAGGACTTTTACTACTGCCTAGCAGTAATGAGACCACACTCCTCCATCCCTCCATGATGTCAGTAGAAAACGTACAGAGAGGAGTGTTGAGACACTCCTACTTCTCTAAGTCAAAGAAGCCTAGTGCGAAGCCAGAACACATAGCCTTGCCAAGAAAGAACAAGGAGCCCCTGACCTGAGCTGTCAATGAAAGCTGAGTACTGAACTTCTACCCCTACCTGGTAATAATGAGATAACATCCTACCACCCCACCTTCCCTGCTAGAGTGGTATCAGAGGAAGCCAGCTAAAAAAGTTTAAATAAGATTCAGAGTCTCATAATGCTTCAAAAATCCCCATTTCAATAGAAAATCACTTGTCATACCAAGAACTAGGAAGATTTCAAACTGAATGAAAAAAAGTCAATAGATATCAACTCCTAGATGACAAGAGAGTTTAGAATTATCTGGCAAATATTCTAAATGAGCCACCATAAAGATATTTCAATGAGCAATTACAAACATGCTTGAAAGAAATTTTTTTTAAAAATAGAATTTCAGCAAATAGAAAGTCTCAGTAAAGAAGCAGAAGAGATGAAGACGAATCAAAAGGAAATTTTAGAACAAAAAATATAACTGGAATAAAAATGAAAAAGCAAAATAGAGAAGACAAAGCAAAAAATCAGTAAATCAGAAGACAGAACAATAGAAATCCCCCAATCTCAACAACAGAGTTAAAAATAGTCTGGGGAAAACAAAAATGAACATAGCCTTAGAAACATAAGGAACCATAACACAAGATCTAACTAACTTCAATGTCATTAGAGTGCCAGAGGAGATGATAAAGAAGTACTTAAAGAAATAAGACTGAAAACTTCTGAAGTTTAACAAAAGACATAAACCTACAGATTCCAGAAACTGAGCAAATGTGATAAATCTAAAGAAATAACATAGACATATCGTAAGCAAACTTTTAACAATCGAAGACAAACCATCTTGCAAGCAATGAGAAAAAAAATGACAGTTTACATTCATTACTAGGGGATAAACAATTCAAATAACAATGGATTTCTCATTAGAAATTATGGAAGCAGAAGGAAGTGGCACGACATTTTTCAAGTGGTTAAAGCAAGAATCATCAACTGAGAATTCAGCAAAAATATCCTTCAGGAATAAAAAAAACAATAAAGACATTCTCAGATAAAGGAATATCAAGAGAACTTGTTGCCAGCAGACTTACACTTTAAAAATGGCCAGTGAAAATGCTCTAAACAAAAAGAAAATGATGAAAGAAGGAATCTTGGAATATCAGAAAAGAAGAAAGAACAGTACAAGAAAGATAAGCAAAAATATGGGTAAATATAATAGATTTCTTTCTCTTTTTGAGTGTTCTAAATTACGTCTTATGGTTGAATTTAAAAAATTACAATACTCTTTGATGTGGTTTTAAATGCTGGTAGAGAAAATATTTATAGTAATATAAATGGGGGATATGTAAAAGGGTATAAAGGGAGATAAATTTCTACATTTCACTAAAAGTAGTAAAATAACACCACCGGTAGACTGAGATAAGTTATATGTATGTACGTAATACCTAGTGTAATGGTTACTGCCGAGTTTAAAATGAGGAAACTGAGGCCAGTATAAGAACAATCAGATGCCAATTTATTTATCTCCCGGGTGAGGTTCTGTGGTCCTAAGGAAAGGGGGCCAGAGAAGTCGTGCTTGACTTCTCAGAGCAGGGGGTTTTATGGGGGTTAGAGGGGGGACTAGCCTAGGATGCATGGGGTGGGCTGCCATTGGGTAAGGCTTGGAGGGATTTCTTCAATTTTCACAGGTTCAGATGTATAGTTTAGTGCTGAGAGTGCACAGTTTAGTTCCGAGGTTCAAATGCATAGCTTGGTGCTGAGAGTGCATAGTTTAGTGCTGAATATAGACCTGGGGGCAGAATGCAGAAGTGGGCGAGGGGAGCCAGCATGGAGGAGCCAAATGCTGAATAATGTGTTCTGCCTGATAAACTGTTATCAGGCATAAAGAGGGGTGGGTGTTGTTCATCTGGCTTTTAGCAAGGCTATTGGCCTTACACCTAGAGCAACCAATAAAAAAATAAAGATTTTTATTTTAAGACACTGTATATAGGCCAGATGTGGTGGCTCACATTTGTAATCCCAGCCCTTTGGGAGCCCAAGGCAGGTGGATCACAAGGTCAGGAGATGAAGACCATCCTGGCTAACACAGTGAAACCTCATCTCTACTAAAAATACAAAAAATTAGCTGGGCGTGGTGGTGGGCGCCTGTAGTCCCAACTACTTGGGAGGCTGAGGTAGGAGAATTGTTTGAACCTGGGAGGCGAAGGTAGTAGTGAGCCAGGATTGTGCTACTGCACTCCAGCCTGGCAAGAGAGTGAGACTCCGTCTCAATCAATCAATCAATCAATCAATCAAGTACAGTAGATAAATAAAAATGGAATTCTAAAAAATGTTAAGTAACCTCCAGGAAGAAACTGAAAAAAAAACAACAACAACAACAGACATTAAAAGGATAGAACAAACAGGAAAAATAAAACAAAATGGCATACTTATGCCTCCAGGTAACAATAATTGCTTTGGTTATAAATGGTCTAAATATACTAATTAAAAGATAAGATATTGGCAGAGTGGATTAAAAACATGACCCAGAGAGTCACGAGCGGGACCAGCCGTGAAAATCTCTAGAAGATGATGGTGTTCTTTAAAACATTTTGAAATCACTGGAAGAAAACTACAGCTGGGCTCTGCCTGCTGACCTGGGGAGGCCACTGGCTCTATGGAAAACACTGTGATAACCTACTAAAGAGAGCAGCCTGTCAAGAAGCTCAGGTGTTTGACAATCAACTTATTCATTCCTCCCAATGCACAAGTGAAGAAGACAACTGTTTTTCTCAATCCTGCAGCTGGCAAAGGCAAAGCCAGGACTTTATTTGAAAAAAATGCTGCCCCAATTTTATATTTATCTGGCATGGATGTGACTATTGTTAAGACAGATTATGAGGAACAAGCCAAGAAACTCCTGGAACTGATGGAAAACCCAGATGTGATCATTGTTGCATGAGGAGATGGGACACTGCAGGAGGTTGCTACTGGAGTTCTTCAATGAACAGATGAGGCTACCTTCAGTAACATTCCCATTGGATTTATCCCACTGGGAGAGACCAGTAGTTTGATTCATACCCTCTTTGCCAAAAGTGGGAAGAGAGTCCAACATATTACTGATGCCACACCTGCCATTGTGAAAAGAGAGACAGTTCCACTTGAGGTCATGCAGATCAAGGGTGAAAGGAACTGCCTGTGTTTGCGATGACCAGCCTTTGCCGGGGATCCTTCAGAGATGCTCCCATCAAAGTTAGCAAGTACTGGTATCTTGGGCCTCTAAAAATCAAAGCAGCCCACTTTTTCAGCACTCTTAAGGAGTGGCTTCAGATTCATCAAGCCTCTATCTTGTACACAGGACCTACTACAGAGAGACCTCCCAGTGAACCAGTGGAGAACCCTGTACAAAGGCCTTCTTTGTACATGAGAATATTACGAAGGCTTGCATCCTATGGGCACAACCACAGGATGCCCTTTCTCAAGAGGTGAGCCCAGAGGTCTGGAAAGATGTGCAGACCTCTGCACAGCAAAGGAAACAATCAACAAAATGAAGAGACAACCCACAGAATGGGAGAAATTATTTGCAAACTACCTATCTGACATGGGATTAATAACCAGAAAATATAAGGAGCTCAGACAACTCAACAGAAAAAAGAATCCAAATTGAAAATGGGCAAAAGATATGAATAGACATATCTCAAAAGAAGGCATACAAATGGCCAACAGGTATATTAAAATATTCTCAACATCACCAATCATTAGAGAAATACAAATCAAAACTATGAGATATTATCTCAGTCCAGTTAAAATGACTTTTATAAAAAAGCCAGGCAATAATGGATGCTAGCACAGATGGGGAGAAAGTGGAACCTTCCTACACTGTTGGTGGGAATGTAAATTAGCACAGTCACTGTGGAGAACAACATGGAGGCTTCTGAAAAAAAACTAAAAATGCTCTTTCCGTCTCAGGCCACTGCTGCAAAGGGAGCTGCCGTCATGTCTGCGCATCTGTAATGGATGGTCGTGCAGAACTGCTGCAGTTTCATGATCAAAAGGAATAAGCAGACCTACAGCATGGAGCCCAAAAACTTGAAGGCCTGCAATTCCTTCTGCTACAAGGGTCTGATTCACCACAAGACCGTGGGTGTGGAGCCAGCAGTCGTCGGCAAAGGTGTGGTGGTCATGAAGAGGAGATCCAGCCAGCGGAACCCTGCCACCTCCTACGTGTGGGCAACCATCAATAAGAATGTTCGAGCCACGCTTAGCCGCATCAGACACATGATCCGCAAGAGCAAGTACCGCCCTGACCTGCACATGGCAGCCATCCACAGGGCCAGTGCTATCTGCGCAGCCAGAAGCCTGTGATGGTGAAGAGGAAGCAGACCCGCTCCACCAAGTGCTCCTGAGCCCCCGCCCCTAAAGCAGTAAAGACTCAGCTGGCTTTCACACACACACACACACACAAACTACAAATAGAACTATCTGATGACCTAGCAATCCTAAGCTGGGTATAGGATCCATATAAAAGGAAATCAGTATATTGAAGAAGTATTTGTACTCCCATGTTTATTGCAGCAGTATTCACAGTAGCCAACATATGGAATCAACCTAAGTATCCATCAATGGATAAATGGACAAAGAAAATGTGGTACTTATATACAATACAATATTATTCAGCTACAAAAAAAGAATGAAATTCTGTTATTTGCAACAAAATGGATGGAACTGGGGGCATTGTGTCAGGTTAAATAAGCCAGGCACAGAAAGACAAAGACAAATATCACATGTTCTCACTTATATGTGGGAGCTAAATGGGTTGATCTCATGAAGATACAGGGTAGAATGAGCATTACCAGAGGCTGGGAAGGATACCCGAAGTGGAGAGAGGGCAAAAAAGAGGGATTGGTTAATGGGTACAAAAATATAGATAGAAGAAATAAGATATAATGTCTGGTAGCACAATAAGGTGACCATAGTTAACAGTAATTTATTGTATATTTCACAACAGCAGAGTGGAATTGGAATGTCCCTAACACAAAGAAATGATAAATGTTCAAGTTGATATCTCAGTTACCCTGATTTGATCATTACACATTTAATGCTTATATCAAAATATTACTTCTACCCTATAAAATATGTGCAACTATTATATATCGATAAAAAGTAAAAATTAGAAAAAAACCCTAAACATGCAACTACACAATGACCCAGCAATTGCACTCCTGGGCATTTATCCCAAAGAAATAAAAATTTATATTCACATAAAAAGCCATACACAAATGTTTATAGCAGCTTTATTTCTAAGAGTCGAAAATAAGGACCATGTGCAGTGGCTTATGCCTGGAATCCCAGCACTTTGGATAAGAGGGAGATTGAAGTAGGCGGATCTCTTGAGCTCAGGAGTTGGAAACCAGTTTGGACAACATGGTTGTCCAAACATCCTCGTCTCTACAAAAAAATACAAAAATTAGCCAAGTGTGGTGGTGCATGCCTGTGGTCCCAGCTACTCAGGAGGCTATGGAAGGAGGATGGCTTGAGCCCTGTAGGCAGAGGTTGCAGTGAGCTGAAATTGTGCCACTGCACTCCAGACTGGACAACAGAATGAGACCTTGTCTCAAAAACAAACATGCAAACAAACTAACACCTGAAAACAATTTAGATGTCCTTCAATCCTTCAGTGGGTGAATCTTTAAAAATCTGTGGCACATCCACAACAATACTCAACAACAATAAAAAGGAATGCATTCTTGATACATACAAAAAACCGGATGAACCTTCAGAGAATTATGCTTAATGAAAAAATAAATCCTGAAAGTTTACATACAAATGATTCCATTTACATAACATTCTCAAAATGACAAAAATAGAAATGGAGAACAAATTAGAGGTTCTCAGGGGCTAAGGAGAAGTCAAGGTAGGAGTGAAATGTGTGCAGCTATAAACGGGAAACAGGGACTCTTGTGTTGTTGAAATTGTTCTGTATCTTGACTGTATTCGTGTCAATATCCTGGTTGTGATATTATACTATAATTTTGCAAAATATTATCATTAGAGGAAACTGGATAAATTTGACATGGGATTTCTTTCTTTCTTTCTTTTTTAACAACTGCAAGTGAATCTCTAAGGAGACTTTTAGAAAAATATTAAATTGACAGGCGCTGTGGCTCACCCCTGTAATCCCAGCATTTTGGGAGGCCGAGACAGGTGGATGATGTGGTCAAGAGATTGAGACCAACCTGGCCAACATGGTGAAAACCTGTATCTACTAAAAACACAAAAATTAGCCGGGTTTGGTGGCATGCGCCTGGAATCCCAGCTACTTGGGAGGCTGAGGCAGGAGAATTGCTTGAACCTGGGAGGCAGAGATTGCAGTGAACCGAGATCACACCACTGCACTGCAGCCTGGCGACAGGGAGACAGTTCATCTCAAAAAAAATGAAAAATATTACCCACCCTTAGTTTACTATTTATCCGTAAATGGAGGAACTAATAGCTGTACTGTATCCTGGAATTGGGCAGCTAAAGTTGGAAAATGCTTAAGAACTTGGACACAGTGCTGCATACTTGGGTTTACAAATTTCTGGATCACACAGTTGTTAATAATTTTCTATTTCATTGGTATCCAATTTATTTTTTTTTCTGGACCACAGATTGGACACCGAGGAGACTGGTGGGAAATAGCAAAAGGCGCTTCTCAGATCTTCTTCTCCTTCCAGCATCCAGCCACATTTCCCTCTCAGTCTTGCTTTCATCTGTTTTCCATATTAGAATTCTGAAGGGTTTTGTAGAAGAAAAGTGGGTTTAACTCACATTTTGAAACCAACTCATCTAATCCCAATCTTTCACTTTACTGATCAGGAGATAGAAACCAGAGAGGTTTAGTGACTTATTGAAGACACTGAGGCAGTTGGTGGTGAAGCTGAGAACAGAACCAGGACTAGTGACCCCACAGTGTTTTTTCCACTAAATCATGGTGACTTGTATGTTGATTGCTTTCTCAACATTTTTGTCAACAATCAAATAGCTTCTTAAGCAGCTAATAATTTAAGAAAGCAACACCATTTATTGTTGTCTAGAGGCATAATTTTGTGCAGTGATTCTTAAGCACATGGGTAGAATTTTAAGCATATTGGTAGTTGTGGTCTGGGATATTATTCAAGGAGTGTCTTAAACATAGGTACAATGTTTAGAGTACATACTGGAAAAGCTCATTGGTGCCACCTAGTGGTTGGAGTGATAGGTATTAGCAGCAATTCAGAAGACATCTCAATGCCCCACCCCACCCCACTTTCGTTTATGCTGTATCAATGGATACATTAAAAGTCAGCGCCAACCACCTCATTCACTTTATTTCTATAATATTTTAGGTGAAAAATGCTTTTTAGAATACAAAAGAAGAGACTTGTTTTTGGGTTAACCGTAAAGTTTATCTCTGCTAATTAAAAACTTTCTTCTTAATACAGCAAATTATTTAGATGAATTATTTTCAAACTCAAATTACCTGCTAGTTACAATTAATTCTTAAATCAGAAAAAAACAGACACTTAGCACAGATCCTTAGGATTCCAGTAAAATGAATAGTTGGGTTCAGTAAGTGTTTAGAAGTACTATTTTTTTTAAAAAAAATTCTGTGATTCAGATTTTTTACTAAAACAGGTATTTTTCTGTGTTAAAAAATCTTGTGACCATATTAAAGACTATTGTCATAAGAGCTGCAATTATAATTAAGTGTACAATTTAATCATTAGAAGATTTTAACCATTTGAAGTTTTCTAATGAGCATACATTTCTTTCCATGAAATCTTATACTGAACAGATACAGTCCTTGTCCTAACATTAAAGCAATTATTTGCAGACCAAACTCATCAGTACAACTATCAAATACCTAAAACATTTAATTACATATTTATTCTCACCATATAATTTTTTCCTCATATGAAGGGTCATGAAATGAGTGAATCATAAAATAATTTGTTTGCCCAAGGTGTTATTAACTTTAGAAATTGCTGGTCTTCTGGGCTGGCCCACTTATCAAAGCCATTTTCAGAACAATTATGACAACGGTGACTAAATACACAAGTAGACAAAAGATGTTTAGCAGACAAGGAAAAAGGAAGTTGTTAACAAGTCTGTAAAAGGAACTTGAATAAACCCAAGAATTGCAGGGTACAAAGGTGAGCATTGAGAGGAATGGGACAAGTGACAGGAATAGAACAGAAAAATGTTTTAAGAAAAAAATGCCCGGGTGTGGTGGCTCACATCTGTAATCCTAGCACTTTAGGAGGCTGAGGTGGGTGGATCACTTGAGGTCTAGAGACCAGCCTGGCCAACATAGTGAAACTGTGTCTCTACTAAAAATACAAAAATTAGCTGGGCATGGTGGCGAGTGCCTTTAATCCCAGCTACTCCGGAGGCTGAGGCAGGAGAATCACTTGAGCCTGGGAGGTGGAGTTTGCAAGAGCTGAGATTGTCCAGCCTGGGCAACAACGCAAGACTTAAAAAAAAAAAAAAAAAAAAAAAAAAATGAGATGTCATCAGAAAAGGGAGAAAGTTCTGAGATAATACTGTATAAGGCTGAAAAAGTTTAATGGGAGGAATTTGGAAAATATATTTAAGTGCCCATTTAAAACTTTCAACCTGTGCAAATTATGCTTTCTGGTGGTTTTTTTTTTTTTTTTCTGAGACAGAGTCTCCTTCTGTCACCCAGGCTCTGAAGGGCAGTGGCATGATCACAGCTTACTGCGGCCTTGACCTCCTGCGCTTAAGTCAGACTCCCATGTCAGCCTCCTGAATACCTGGGACCACAGGCACACACCATCATACCCAGCTAATCTTTGTATTTTTTTTGTGGAGACGGGGCTTTGCCATGTTGCCCAAGCTGGTTTCCAACTCCTGGGCTCAAGTGATCCTCCTGCTTCAGCCTCCCAAAGTGGCCTGGGTCACTGTGCCTGGATAAATTTATTTTAATAATTTAGAAATTTTAAACCATTGACCAGATTTATATTTTCAGACTGCCAATTCGAAAAGATTTACTAAGAAAACATGATGCAAAGGTAGTCCACTTTCAAGGGCAAGGATCAGACATGAAGTTTTTGGGTAGTACTCATCACTCATGTCAGAATATATTCCTCCTTAAGAAAATCTGAACATTGGAACACCCTCAGAATTCTTTAGTTCAGTGTTTTAGATTGAATGTTGAAGACATAGGAGAAAATGGCAGGTTATGAAAGAAAAGTACATGAGAACTTTTGTGTTGATTTGAAATTACATGAAGTAGAATGAGCAGTAAGATATTGTTCAGCTCTTGGCTTCATTGCTTATGCTTTAAGCTCATGAATTCAATTTCTTCCTCTTAACTGAAAATCATACTGTCTCTTATGGTTGTTGTGAGAATTAAATCATATACTGTGCATGAACTGCCTATCAATGCTTGGCACATAGTAAGGTATAAAGAAATGTTCATTTCTTTTTTCTTCATAACTAAACATACCAGATAATATTTAGCAAAGCAGTCAGCAAAGCCTTCAAAGTTCTTTCCTATACATAGTTTTTTGGTTTCACTGGTTTCATAGACTTGTAATGGCAAAAAGTCACAAGTTTTTTTTAACAACACTCACATAAAATTCTTAATGCCCGAAGAATCTATTATCACACATAATTATAACAAGTAGATTTTGTACATAGTGACATATATTTTTAAATTTTCGAATAATACAAGATAGGAAAACTAACAATTCATTTTGACTTGAGGTTGCAAATTTCGTAGTCTGGAGTCAACAAGGAACTTCTTGAAGAATAAAGGAATAATAAATATACAGGCTACAAAAATAACACTTCTATTTTTTTAGGATCAGTGTCAAATAAATGTGAAATATTGGTGATTTCTTTCCTTTTTTTCTTTTTTTTAGACAAAATCTTGCTCTGTTGCCAAGTTGGAGTGCAGTGGCACTATCTCAGCTCATTGCAACCTCTGCTTCCTGGATTCAAATGATTCTCCTGCCTCGGCCTCCAAAGTTGCTGGGACTACAGGTGCATGCCATCATGCCCAGCTAACTTTTGTGTTTTTAGTAGAGATGAGGTTTCAGCATGTTGGCCAGGATGGTCTCAATCTCCTGACCTCGTGATCTGCCCGCCTCAGCCTCCTAAAGTGCTGGGATTACAAGCATGAGCCACTGCACCCGGCCAATGTTGGTGATTTCTAAAGAGACTTTTGTATCAAGATTTGAGAAAAATATTCTTGCTTCTATTAACATTTTCAAAGATGTATATATGAAAGCTGGGCACAGTGGCTCACACCTGCAATCCCAGCACTTTGGGAGGCTGAGGCAGGCAGATCACCTGAGGTCGGGAGTTCAAGACAAGACTGACCAGCATGGAGAAAGCCCATCTCTAAAAAATAAAAAAATAAAAAATTTAATTTAATTTTAAAAAAAGATGTATACATGAATACAGATGATAATTTTTAAGGAATATATGCAAGATTTGCCACCCCTTCCAATGCTATTCCTGTCCAAATCCAGAAACATAAACATGCTATGACAGGCAAAATGTCATTATTGAGATAGTATCTACATTATGGTTCCTTAACAACTCCATAACAGTAATCACACACTCTCACATTAATAAACTGTGTTTGCAGACATGTCCATTCAGTGGTTTACTGATTAACTTGGAAAAAAATGTTGGCATATAGTAAAGTGCAAATATATAGCCCTTTTTAAAAAAAAGTCTGGCAATATTTAAAGTAAAAGTATAGTGTAAATTTTTTTCAAAGTGTAAAATATTGAGTACTAATTATATTTTCGAATAGTGCCTAATTATGCCTATTAAATGTACAACTTTGCCATATGAAATTGTTTAACATTTCTCTTATTAAGCTACTAAATGTATTTTTGTCCTTATATTTTTCAAGTAGATATTTCAAAAACTAGGCCAGGCGTGGTGGCTGATGCCTGTAATCCCAGCACTTTGCCAGGCTGAGGCAGTGAATCACTTGATGTCAGGAATTCGAGACCAGCATGGCCAACATGGTGAAACCCCATCTCTACTAACAATACAAAAATTAGCCAGGCATGCGATGCATGCCTGTAGTCCCAGCTACTTGGGAGGCTGAGGCACAAGAATTGCTTGAACCCAGAAGGTGAAGGTTGCAGTGAGCCGAGATGAGGCCACTGCACTCCGGCCTGGGCAACAGAGTGAGACTCTGTCTCAATTAAAAAAAAAAAAATTAAGCCCATCAATACATTTCTTTACTTTCTGTGAATTTATATTATCTCTGGATATATATGTTATTCTGTTCAGTTATTCAGTCATTTACTCAGTTTTGAGTGTTCCTCACAATATTGAGGAGTTTGGATTTGCCTGTATCCCTGATGTACATACTCCAGCCAAGGCTTCAAACACTTTGAAGTGCATTTCTTTTTCTGGGCAGTCACCTAACCTCATCTTCAGCACAGTTATAGTCCTCCTGCTATACTCCTGTCTCTTGCTGTCTCAGGGGACGAAGCATAAGAAGTGGGGATAGGAGCTTCTTAATGTTGCTCCAATCAACCCCCCAAATTCAGATGTGAAGAAAAGAGGGCATGTGTAACGGTGTGCCCCACAGTGACAACCACTGGCCTGTGCAAGGAGTCCCTGAAGCTGCGAGAATGGAGCGTGTGTGATTTTAAGTTGCTAGCACCCATTCTCCTCCGCTCCTGATCATCATTTCCTCATTTATGAATCTGACATTCTAGCTTACTTGCCTGAGAATTTAGCTGCAGTAACTCTTTCTACCACCTACTGGCTTTTTATCCGTTAATCTCCCTAGCTTGATAAGGAGGGGAGAATTAAAAAGGCTACAAGATCAATTCCAACTCTGTAATTCTATAGTGTTCACTAAAGTTTTTTATTAAATTTTATAAATGACAAAGTGCTTCATTAACCTTAGCTTTTATCACAATTTTTGTCAGATTCTATGAGTATCTTGTTCTATATTGCTGTACTAGTTTTGCTGCCTGTTATACATGTTGTTCTTTGGTACTTAAAATGGCCTCTAAAATGGATTTAATTTGTACAAGGATGAGGGGAAAAGAATGACTCAATTCAGGGCCTTAGACAAAAATAAGATATGCTGACTTATGGTTTTATGGGAGGAACTGATTGATGTACTCAAAGCCAATTATAACCACTGTGGCAGAGGCAAAAAGTAGTGCCATGAAAACCCAAAGAAAACCCAGCTTCACAAAAGGAGTGCCATGTTAGCTGGCCCTTGACAGCTGCATTGGAAACAAGGTAGATTATAGATAAAGACATGGAAAGTTAGAGGCCTGCTCTGAGAGTGAAATATAGATGGAGCATAGAGGGGGGCAAATCAAAGTGTGATTGACTTAAGAAGCAGACCTGGCATAGTGCCTGGCTTATAAGAGATGGCCATTCAACGCTGAAAGAAAAGAAGATGGATTATGTCACTCTTCTGCCCAAAATCTTTCCATCACATTTG